GACAGGTTTAACAGCGGATTTCCTACAAAGCGATATGGATATGATCTGTCGGACATATCCAGAATTTATTAAGAAAAAAAACTTGCCTGGGGAAATAATGGTGAGATTCTCAAAGAGATCTGCAAGGGACGTGGTGCTCAAGGCCACAAATGGGACAACTTTAAAAATCAAAGACGAAGAAATCAGAGTCTTAAAATACATACCATTTGAAATAAGAATGAAGAGAAAACAATATAAAAACTTAACTAGCTTTCTGCAGAAAAATTCCACACCATACAGACGGATAATACCTGAGGGACTTGTCTTCAACTACAAAGATAGAAAAGATTGTCTTTAAAGCAAAGGGGTTTTTGGAACAGCAACAAAGACCAGTGCATGACAAGACAGCTACAGAGGAACAAGACTTGGAAGAAGAAGGTAGCGCATATGGGTCAGAAAGTTCGGGAAGCATGGTGGGCAGTAACCCAGAAGAGGACTCCGAATCAGATAAAGGAGTGGCGACCCCAAAACACCTGAAGGTCCAATGGAACTTTGATAAAAAGAAGCTCAGAGGAAAGAAGCTGACATAATATAATCTTATAAGTTTGAAAGTTAAATTGATTAAACTGTAATTACCTGATTTAATCATATAAATTCCAGTTTGTAAGGAAGCAATAAGAAATAACCATTCCATTAATTTTACTATTGTTTAAGCTAATGACTAACCTTTTTGTATGATCCTTGTGTAGCTTATGTTTTAGTTTAGTGTTGTAGTGATTGTAGTGTTAGTCTTTGTAGCAAAAAAAAAAGAATCACAAAACTTGAGAAAACTGTAGGAGAGCACTTCAGCCTTCCTGAACATCCAACGGGTGACCTCATAGTTGCTGTTTTATTGTGAAGGACCTTCAGGAACCGACTAGAAAGGGAAATTGCTGAGTTGCAAGTTATTACGAAACTCAGAACAATGGAATCCCCAGGACTTAACAGGGATATTGGTTTCTTATCTCACTACATATGCTAACTTCATACAGTCCTTACATCTGTATTCTCATCAATCCCCCAGAAGGGCCATACCGCTTCTTTATTTTATTTTATTTCTTATTTGGATAGTAGGTTGTAATGTAACATAATGAATAGTAGAATGTAATGTAATTTGGAATGGTAGATTGGAATGTATTTCTCTGGTCTGGGAACTGGAGGGATAACAACACAACCGATCACCCCACTTCAAAGAAGATGCTGTAAAATCGACTCCATGCTTGAGAGGAGATGGATGGAGCATAATGGCAGGGTCTCAGATAATTACTCTCTACATTCCACAATTAAGGATGTATCTGCCCATCAAATGTTGACATATTTATTTCCTTCACTATGTTTTCTCACAAATTAAACCGAAACAAATGCTTACCACATAAACTAAGCTTGTTATTCCTATTAGGTTCTTGAATCTGTTAAACATCTTCATTATGCTGTATACTAATTTACTACTCACCCTCTACTTATATGTCTGGACTGGTAATGTCCATTTCATTTTATCTGAAGAAGTCTGTGTGCACATGAAAGCTTATACCTTGAATAAAACTTTGTTGGTCTTGAAGGTACCACTGGACTCAAACTTTGTTCTACAAGCTGATGGTAGTTACTGATCACATAATTATTCTCTGTGAACTGGAAAGTAAGTATTCATGTGGCTTTGTGGGAAACGTCCTTGTTTATAATCGTAGTACTGAGCCAATTGCAGAGATCATATTTTTCCTAGGAATCAAATAGAAGTAAAAAGTCACCCAGGCGGATTAATGAATGGTACCTCGTAACTTGCCAGTCCCAGACCACTAGTATCAAGTCATAATATAAAGTGTGTGAACTATTTGTGCAATAAGTTGATTAACAAAGTCTTTTTCCACATCTTTCTTTACAAAAAAAAGTAGAATGTGTAAGTTTTGGTAAAAAATCAGCTTCAGTATTAAGAACTTAGGAGTGGGTTCCTACTAACTTTTCTGCTAGTGCATGAGGAACAAAGAGCAATCTCACCAAATTCTTCCCCTTGTTACAGTCCTTGTCGCATGTGGCTTTTTATCCATGTCAGTCCCACAATCCCTGACATAGACTTCTTGTGCATCAGAAGGGACTGCTTTTCTCTATTGTGCTGGGTGGAAAGCTGGGAATATCCCATTTTATATGTTTGTATTAAGCTCCAGTTTCATTTTAATAAACCAGGTTATTTTTGAAAGAGAAATTGAGTATAGTTCACTCAATATAGCCCAATGACTCCCCATCAGTTTCAGTGGACTTCCTCCCTTCATGTGTGTATGAATTTGGGAGAAAAGAAGGGGATGTCTTTGAATTTAGTTAGCTTAAAAAAAACCCCGTATGCTTGGACTCCTGTTTTGTGTTGTGGGACAAAGTATAGTCATTGAACCAACCCTTTGTAAGCAGTTGCACTGGAACTCTGCATTCACTGCTGGAACTGCTCTGTGTGGCTGTGATTCTGCAAAACAATAGGCATCATGAGGGTGTGGCCAGCAGCAACAAATCCTAGCGGAATGGTTATTAGTCATCCTGGACTGTGGTTGTGCTTTTTGTGTCGTCCCCCCCCCCCCCCCCCCCCCATTTGGGCTGGCATTACATCTCACTAACTGCATCTTTATGCACTGTGCATACTTACTCTGTGCTTCCTATGTGGGACACCCTGCTAGCAACTATTGGGAGGAAAAGAACAGAAAAAAGATTTTCCTGGATTGGATCAGGGGTCCTCTAGTTCAGCATGTTGTTGCCCAGAGTTGCTAGCCACTTGCCCTGAGGGGTGGGGGTGGGGGCAACATGCAGGGTATAGATGCAAAAGCTTTTCCTGATACTGTCTCCTAATACCGGTATTCAGAGGTTTACTGCTTTTTAATGTGAAGGTTCCCTCTAGTCAGAAGGAGCTATGGTGGCTCAAGTGGTTAAGACGCTGAACTGCAGGCTGGGGAAGGTCAGTAGTTCAGCAGTTCGAGACCCGAGTGTGCCGCATGACGGAGTGAGCTCCCGTCTCTAGTTCCAGCTCCTGCCAACCTAGCAGTTCGAAAGCAAGAAATTGCAAGTAGAAAAATAGGTACCACTTCAGTGGGAAGGTAACAGCGTTCTGTGCGCCTTGGTGTTTAGTCATGCCGGCCACATGACCACAGAAATGTCTTCGGACAGCGCTGGCTCTTCGGCTTTGAAACGGAGATGAGCACTGCAACCCTAGAGTCGGATTCGACTGGCTTTCGAGCAAGGGAACCTTTACTTTTACCTTTTTCCCTCTAGTCATCACTGATCATCCTTCATGAATCTATTCTGTCCCCTTTTAAAGCCATCTGTGCCCCTGGTATGAATTCCACAATTTAAATATTCTGTAAAAAATTGAGTTTAAAAAGTGCTTTCTTTTGTTTATTCTGAATCTTCTGCTGATCACTTTCATTGGCTGATCAACTTCATTGGCTGCCCATGCTCTATTATTATGAAAGAGGAAGAAAAGGCTTTCTTTATCAGCTTTCTTTACCCAAGGCATAAACTTAGAAACTCCTGCCATTTCCCCTTAGCTTTTGAGGCAAATGCACATGGGGATATGGGAGAAATTAGAAGCAGTCACAGTTTGAGGGGGCAGGAAATCTCTCTGTCTTGCTTAACTGTGTGGTTTGTGTTGTCATTGTATCCCCAGTTGGAATCTCCAGATAGGAGTTTGTGTCCCCAAGTGAAGCACCTGTAAGAAATTGGAGCAGTGGTAGCAATACACTGTGACAGTGGTGGTTCTTCTTGGCTTTTTGTACAAAGTGCTCTTTGTCTGGAGATCCCATCACTGAAGCCCCCACCTATATGTGTGTTCTAAGTATGCATGACATGAGGCTGAAGTGTTGTAGCCCCATGCTGCATGCTCAGTCGTATGAGTGTCCTGGCTGCAGTTTATTTTGTGGTTAGGGGAGCTGTGAAAGGCTGCAAGCTTCATTTCCTAAGCTGTGCTGTGGCTGGGTATAGTTGCTCTGTGATTTCTGTGGTTTAGGTTTAAGCCAGGATTATTGCCAGTATAACATTATACTGAGATCAGGAGCAGCCGGGGGAAGCTTGGAATACTGACTAAGCCCTTCCCTTGCATCCCCCCCACCCCAGCAGTGCCCTTTCTTTGCTGATTCAGGAGTTAAACCAGCACCAAGGCACTGGCAAATTTCAAAGCTGCACTGGTGTAAAGGTTGGTTGCTATCTTAAGTGCTCCAGTAATAGGCAATGTGATTGTTTCCTTAAACTGGAAAGTTAGAAAGATTCTCAATCCTTACATGCACAATCTAGTTTTTAAGTACACTTAAAGAATCTATTAGGTTCTCTAGTCATTTTAACTTTTTGCTTTCAACTACTCAGACTTAAATAGATGTCTTTAATAGAGAATCTGATATTCTAGTAAATAGGTTGAAAGCACTTTACATTTTGTTAATAAGCCATCCAGTTTTGATTTTAAAAACCCATCCTTGTTTAGATCCTTTTAAATTTTCCATAAAATATATAGTAAGCTAACTGTAGACCTATGCATTAATATTCTGGAGAAGCTGCATGTAAAACAAGCCTTTGAAATATAAAAGTATTCAGAACTAATGAAGTTGAAGTCTAATTCCCAGTGTCGTTGTGGTGTGATAGTTAGAATATTTTACAGGTTCTTGGAGACCTGAGTTCGAGTTTCCATTCTGCCATGGAAGCCTGCTTAGTGAGCTTGGGCCAGTCACACACACTCAGCCTAACCTACAACACAGGGTTGTTGTAAGGATAAAATGGAGAAAAGGAGAATACTGTAATCTCTTTTTGGGTCCCCAGTGGGGAGAAAAGTGAGGTATAAATGAAGAATAACATACAGATATGTATTTCAAAGCAAACTTAATAAAATTGAGGTTAAGAGCTAATTTTTTTCTTATGATTTCTCAAACCTATTGTTTTCAGATGAATGTTCAATATTTAGCTAACCTGGGGGGGTTTTTTAGATTTTGGTAATGACTTTCTTAAAATTTCTTGTTTTATAGGCGAGGTTTAAATCCACCTCACAGGGTGAAGTCCATTTCTATGACCACTTTCACACAGCATGAAATAGAATTTCTGCAGAAGCATGGGAATGAAGTAAGTATTTATTGAAGAATTTCATAATTGTTGATTGAGTTGATTCCTCCGATTTATGGAGGTTCATCCTATGTCAGAAGGGCAACAGGATTTAAACGTCCATTCAAAAAATAAGAACATTTGAAAGTGCTGTATCAGAGGGTCAATAAGATATTTGTAAATAACATGGAGCCTCGGAAGCTGTGCAGGCTGCAATTTGACAACTACATCAGGAATTATATTTTGTAACACATGCCTGTTAAATGCAAAATGCTTTTGTTCTGCATATCCTGTGTAGGTTAACTTTTGTTGAGGATGAATACCATTTCTTCAGTTTGCAAGATCTGAACAAGGCTGTCTATGATAGGGTGTTTTGGAAGTGTTTAATTCATAGGTTTTCTATAAATTGGAAGCAACTTGATGACACATAACACACACACACACATTCACCCCACTCATGTTGCACAACAGGGTGGTTTCATAGTAGTATATTATAGGCAGTGTTTCAGTGATAGCAGAGGAGAAAATGCTGGATGGAACTGTTTGAAATGACCAGAAAAGTGTTGTAGGCTTGGTAACAGAAAAATATAGATTCCTAGGATTAGATCCAGAGGTTCTGTTTGGCAAATGGTGGGGCTTTTCCTTGAGACAAAGCTCTCTGTGCCAATGTCTATTATTAGTAAGATGGAACTTTTGGTTCTGATTTTTAATTCTCAGAACAGCACCTCTGATACTGTGTGTGGTTCTTCTAGCAGTTAATCCAACAGCGTTGTAGAACACTTAATGAAATCTGACTTCCTTTGATAAATTTGGTAAATGTTATGTTTAGAAGATGCTGAATGTGATATCTCAAAGTATCATATCTTGTGACATGAAACCCTATCTTAGCTCTAGCAAGCTGTTGAATTTTCTGCATGAGTGATGTATAACTCAGTTACTAAGCCCAGTGGAGTTGTAGATTTCTCAAAGAACATCTATAAATGTTGGCCTTTAGCTGTCTTACATATTTAGTGTGAAGTAACCTGCTTATTCACAGGGGCTGCGGTGGCTCAGTGGTTAAGACGCCAAACTGCAGACCGGAAGGTCAGTAGTTCAGCAGTTCAAGACCCGAGTACTATATGACAGAGTGAGCTCCCGTCTCTGGTCCCAGCTCCTGCCAACATAGCAGTTCGGAAGAAAGAAATTGCAAGTAGATAAATAGGTACTGCTTCGGTGGGAAGGTAACAGAGTTCCGTGAGCCTTGGTGTCTAGTCATGCCGGCCACATGACCACGGAAATGTCTTCAGAGAGCGCTGGCTCTTCGGCTGGGAAACTGAGATGAGCACCGCACCCTAGAGTCGGATTCAACTGACTTTCGAGCAAGGGAAACCTTTACCTTTACCTTTTTTTAACCTGCTTATCAATGAATACAGTTTCTAACACTTTCCTTAAGAATTGAAGAGTTCATTGAAAAGCAGAGTAGAATCTTATTTTATAAGAAGATAAAATAATAGTTCTTATATGTTGATAAATGTAGTTGAGGGCCAGTTTTTTACAGCTGTGCACTCTTGAAGAAAGTACCCTGGAGTGGGGGCTTCTTCTTTCATAAGAATACTGTTAAATGAAATACTGAAAACAAAGCTACTGGTATGCAGGGCATGCAGAAAAAATAGTTTGTATTTTTAGGCGCTTGGATGACCTGGCGCTTGGGCTTCTTTGACCCTGGTAGGCTGAGATTCTCTTCTCCCCTTTCATTACACAGATTGCATTAGTATTAGTTATCTGTAGTGCACTTATTCTAGCACAGCAAAGTATAAATTAGAGTAGCTTGAAGAAGGTAAGTTTATTTGACTAGAGCAGTGAATAAATACTATCTATCATAGTGCTTCTATACTTGCTCTCGGGTTGCCTGTGTAAATGCACCAGGAAAGTATTCTTGCCCTAATTTGTTAGGACATTTTAATTCCACCCTTTTTCCAAGGAGCTCAGGGTGGCATACCTCAGTATCCTCCATTTTACCCCCACAACTACCTGGAATTGGTTAAGCTGAGGTAAGGCCACAAAAAGTGAAGATTTCAACATGGATCTCCCAGATCCCAGGCCAGCTCTTTAACCACTACACCAAGCTAGTTGTGGAAGATAAAAAGATGACAGATCACAGCATGATTCAGATATATAAACAGCTCTTCTACTTCATTGCTGAAGTAGTGAGTGGGTGAATGCACAAAGGCATAATTTGGCTGGCATGGAGAATCTGACTTTCATATTTAGTAGAATTACATTTTTGTCATGAAGAGCTGTTACAGAAAGTTAACAAAAGGCTTATCAAACTACTGCCAAAGGGGCCCAGCTTTTTTGTTGTCATTTGGGAGTGATAATATCCGTCGGTGAGTGCTTACTGAGCAAGAATTTCTTCAGGTTTGTTGTTGGCTGTACTGAGTGCAGCTGACTCCAACTTTCAAGGACTGTGGATGGACTAGGACTGGATAAAGGATGTACTTGTCAGACAGACTACTGTCTCCCAGCTCAGGACATTGGATTGTATCTCTTTTCAGAGAGCCTCATGTTGTGATACTAGTCTCAGTTATCTGGAGCATTCCAGGAACTCTGTATGCACATATCCTCCTGTGGGATCTTCGTCAGTGACAGCTGGTCTACTTGATATCTGGGATAGTAGGCAGACTTTGCCTCCACTGCAGCATTTCCAAAGTGCAGTATGCTACAATCCCGATGGGAATTAATTAAGTGTATGTTTTACAGAACAAAGTTTCTCAGACGGGTCTGGGAATCTTTTGGGGGGTTCGCAAGGCTATTCTTGGGAGGGGGTGTCAGAGTCAGTGAGGAAAGCCTTTCTCACTCCCATCTTGCTAACAAAGGGCCCTCTTAGTTTTTTCTGAGTGGAGACATGGACTCCCCACCTCTGGGGAATGGGATGGAATCTCCTTCCCCCTCTTCTAAAGACTGAGAACTAATAGAGCTCCCACTGCCTGCAGTCATCTTAACTTTCAGGTCACCTCATGACATTAGCCAGAAAATTCACAGATTGGTACCTGGGAATCAGTGTTTCAGCCCTTGAATTCTAGTTGGTTGAATGGTTCCAATGAGGTAAATTCCTAATGCAGTCATCATAGTTACTTCTGGTATAAAACCAAACACTTTGTTTTCCCATGCAGAGGATTCCACCAGGGAGAGAGAGGCATCAGTCTTGACCCCCTGTACAATAACCGCAAGCTGTGGCTTTCAACTGAATACAGGCAGTTAAGGTTTTGTGTAACACTTACATGCTTGTTTCTGTTTTAAAGAGCAGGTTGAAAGATTTTCTAGGTCCCTTACATTCCTTTTCAGCTGGCCTCTATAATCCATAAGGAAATTCTTTGCTGTCTCCAGTGCGAAGTCCCTTCTAATCAAGGAGAGAAAACTGATTAAAACTTAGGCCAGAGCCTTTTGAGTTGTGGCCTTGTAGAATTAGCCTCTCTCTCGAAGGGAGGAGAACACTGATATGCTTGGGTTTCTCTTCCCACAATCCCTGGAGGTAGGAAATTGATGGCACTTTCCATCGAGGAGAGGTGGAGCCCAACCTCGGTCTTCTTCCTGCCTCCATCTGAGAGAGCAGTAGATTTAGAGAGCTCCTGAGATTTTCCTTTAAGGAGATCCTTTGGTTGCACTTTGTTTTTCTCTTTCCACATGTGTGCCTTTCAGTGTGCCTTTCCCTTTGTTTAAAAAAACCAAACTTTGTTCTTCTGGCCTTGTCTTCCCAAAGGCTGTTTGCCTTTTGCCCGCTGCTTCAGTCACAGTAATGTCTGCAGCTGAGGTCTCCGACCATGGGACCTCCTCTGAGAGAGAGTTGGGGGAGGTGATCCCCAGGCAGCGATCCCTCCAAACCTGCTTGCCCAGCTGTCTTGCGGAAGCAGAGCTCTTAGAGAGAGTCATAGGCCAGGAATCACCTGGCTTGGATCATGAAGAAGCAGGCTCAGGTTTTGGCACAAAACTGCACCCTCTAATGACCAGCTGGGATGGCCTATATTGGCCTGTCGGGCCTGTTCAACGCAGCCTTCTGTGGCCATTGCAGCAGTGAGTCAAAGGGAGACTACAGCTCCCCAACAGGGGGAAGTCAGGAGGGTGGACAGCCTTTTGTTACCCCAACAGGCTTCCAGGACTGGCTAGAACAATTTGTCTGCAATCAGTAGAGAAGGGGGGGGGAAGCTTCTTTACCCTCCCAGAAAAGGTGATGTGAGCCCTCTTTCCCCCCCAACCCTCCCTCTCCAGTCAAACACCTTCAAAAAAATTAACTACTTCAAGGCCTCTAGACACAGAGATACGCCAGGGCTCCTCTTGGCCAACAAAGGCTGCCTGTAAAAGCACCTTCCACAGTAGGAGCAATTATTCAAATTTGTCAGACTACAGATCTGAAGATAGGGATTCCCCCTTAGGCTCTGGGGATTCTGATTAAAAGGTAAAGGTTCCCTTGTTCAAAAGCCAGTCGAGTCCGACTCTAGGGTTGCGGTGCTCATCTCCGTTTCAAAGCCGAAGAGCCAGCGCTGTCCGAAGACGTTTCCGTGGTCATGTGGCCGGCATGACTAAACACCAAGGCGCACGGAACGCTGTTACCTTCCCACCAAAGCGGTACCTATTTATCTACTTGCAATTTCTTGCTTTCGAACTGCTAGGTTGGCAGGAGCTGGAACTAGAGATGGGAGGTCACTCCATCATGCGGCACTCGGGTCTCGAACTGCTGAACTACCGACCTTCCACAGCCTGCAGTTCAGCATCTTAACCACTTGAGCCACCGCAGCTCTGATTCTGATTAGGGGTGTGGGGAAAAATCGGTATTTTTCAGTTCGGGTCTGTTGGGCCCCCAAAATTTCTGTATTTTTTTAAAAATCCCAGATCCCGATATTGGTATGGTCATGGACCAAACCCAAGCCTAACTTGAGAGCCACAAGTCAATACCACAATTCATCCCAAGCACCAGCATCCAGTAAGGGAGGAAAACAGCATCATCATCAACAACAAAAGTGATGGCAGGCTAACTCTGGTGGAGG